TAAACACATAAGGGAGATTTCTCCTAATCTTCTTCACTATATTTAACAGATAGGATATAATAAGATAGGTTTTAATGAGTAATAGGGGAAGGACAGAGAAAAAAGTTTTAGGAATTAATTGTTGTTGGGTAGTTAGAAGTGAGTTGCCTTTATAAGAAGGCAAGGGGGGTCTGGTAGAGGGCAGTTTTTGAATTTGTGAATTGTTAGACTCGAACATTGTCCAGTAGAGGGAGGAAGGCTTCCTTGGGGGTGATTCTGTGTATTCTGATTCACTCATACATCAATAATACATTCTATTCAGTTCTGTTTGGTGTGTTCTTGAGAGAAGGAGAGGGTTGTTCATCAGAATAATATTTAGTACTGTTGTTGTCCAGTATTCTGTGTGGGTGTGCTGTTTTGAGAGAAAGATATACTTCTTGACCAAAGAAGTCTATCACAAGTGAACTCCCTAATAAAGAAAAATAGGAAATTACAATAATAAATTAACAGTTTTATAGTACATTATGAGAATATATGATAGGATATAATGTGATAGGTTATAATGGGTAATGGATACAGGACAAAGGAAATAGATTAGGAATTAGTTGTTAGTTGGTTGGGGGGCCTTTATAAGAAGGCAGGGAGCTCTTATGGTAGGGGATTTTTGGATATTTTTGTAGATTGAGCTTTGGCTCTTTGTGAAGGAGAAACCCTTAGAGGAGAGAGTGCTCTCCTATTCTTGTATTCTTTGGTTACAATAATAATACAGTTTTGTTTCCAGTAATCTGGTGAGTGAGTGTGTGCTGTTTGGAGTGATAGATAGACTTCTTGACCAAAGAAGTCTATCAAATTGGTCTGACCTGCCGGATCAAAGCTTGTGGAGCGAGATGGAGGGAAAGCTAAACACGCTGGGAGGGAGGATGGATGAGAATGAGTGCGTTGGAAGGGCGGTTTAACTCGATGGAGATGATGACAATGGAGGAATTGAAGTCCGAGATGAGAGGGATGCGCCAAGAACTTAAAGAAATCAACAAAATTCTTGGAAGAAGAACTTGGAACCAGGACAAGAGTTCAGAAAGAAGTGAGAAATCAATCATGAAAGGAAAGAAAGAGAGAAAAACAGGTAAGGATGCTGTGAGAGACAGTCTGCAAAACATCACGAAAGGTACGAAATTCTCTGAAGGAGAGTACTTGGCTAATGATGAAGAGAAGAAGGAAAAAAGATATCCATAGGGCAGTAAACCAGATGAAGAGCCACTTTTTCCGTGGGTTGAAGGAGTGGAGTTGTCCACAATTGAAGGGAATGGTGCCCAGGGTCAAACAACAAGGGCATCAAATGTTTTTGAAGTTCAGAACATCAAAGGATCAACAAAGGTACACCCAACAGTTAATAACATGGAAGAAAATGCAGTCCAAGGGTTCAAGACCTGGCAACAAAAATCCAAGAACCTTTCTTGGGAAGATCTTCCAAAAGGCCTCTGTAGGAGTTGCGGGGCAGAGAATGCTGCACCACTTTTGAAAAGTGTGGGGGTAGAAAACAGAGTGCCATTGCTGGAAAATGGGCAACAATTAAACAAGAGAGGGTCGAAGATTACATTCAAGATTTTGAAGTGGGATAAAACAATAGGGGTGAATTTTATTATGCTATTGATGTGCTGCCTAGTAATAATACGTAACATGATGGTTTATGGGATATGGATATTCTTTATATCCATAGAGATATTGGCCTTCTTGAGGAGGTAGGGAAAAATGCACGGAGAATTTTATTTGAGAGTTTGGCAGCAGTAACATGGTCTGGGAGTGGGGAAAAATTCATCCAAGAATTCAAGATATTGGTGTCACAAGCTAGTATAACACCAGAAGATCAGTTGGAGGAATTTTTCTTTGCGGGCTGCAATCTAACATTTACAATTGGTTTCCACAACAGCATCTAAAGAACTTGATTAGAGATTCACAAAGTGCTCTAATTGTTGGAGAAAGGCCAGCAATGAAGAATTACACTCTCTGTAGGGAAGAAAAAACCAAAACAGAAGGGAGATTTGGAACAGAAAAATATAGTATGACGGAGTAGGAAGGGGATGCAACAATAAAAAGAATTGAAGGTGGAGATGCAGCCAAGCAACAATCAATGACATTGGAATTTTGGGATTCCAAGTTACTAGGTTCAGAATTTGGTATGCAAAAACCACTCTTATATCGACCACCACCCAAGCCTCCAGATCTAAACTTGTAAGCAGTAGCCAGTGGATTCCTTTCATATGATAACACATTGATGAAGATGACCCATGAGATCAAGTTTCACGGTTCCAACCTTGAGGACAAGATTGTTTTGCAGCGGAGTGTAATGATAAGATATAATGTGATAGGTTATAATGGGTAATGGGTGCAAGACAAAGAAAGTAGATTAGGAATTAATTGTTAGTTGGTTGGGGGGACCTTTATAAGAAGGCAGGGAGCTCTTGTGTCAGGGACTTTTGGATATTTTTGTAGATTGAGTTTTGGCTCTTTGTGAAGTGGAAAATCTTGAAGGAGAGAGTGCTCTCCTATTTTTGTATTCTTTGGTTACAATAATAAGAGTTCTGTTTCCAGTAATTTGGTGAGTGAGTGTGTACTGTTTGGAGTGATAGATAGACTTCTTGACTAAAGAAGTCTATCAATATAACATTCATACTATGATATGAAATTCAACCAATATTATGGTTTGAAATATGAAAACCAACAAATATGTTGAAAGTGAAAAATATTTCGTGTTACACATCATAATAAGTGTGATGAAACCATTAAGTTATGTCAAATTGAAACTTTCAATTTATCAGAATGCCATGTTATCAATACATGAAACGAAGAGAGCAGAGAATGGAGGGCTCGGCTTGTTACTAGCAATTAAAACAAACAGTTAATAATAATTTTTTTCTAAAAAGGTCTAGTACTGCTGAGAGCAGAGAATAGAAGTAGGGCATAGGATGCCTAGCTCATAGTTTGAGGTTATATCAACTTGTAGCTCCGACTTGCTGCCAGCTATTGTTAAACAGAGCAAGATTCAACACAAAGAAATGAGTATAACTAAATATCGAAGCCTTCATTGGAACGCAGAAGAATAGTAAGAGCCTTCAACACAGATGATAGAATCGGAAGATGGATGTCATCAACAGAGATCAAAATTGTAAGTTTGGTGCCCTGAACAGAGATGAGTGTCACAAAATTTACCTCTGCTACATTTTAATCTCCGTTGCCCTTCAGAACTGCCCAAATGACCGTAGATTTGGACCCCAGGTAGAATCACCAACTCACTTCTGCAATCAGGAGTTTGAGCAAGTCCAGACTACTAGTTTGTTGAAGTTTTGCCAAAAGCCGACCAAGAAATAGGCTTGCATGTGAGTTGAACATATTGATGGCTGCAAACTCGGAAACTCATCTGATTTAGGAGTTCGCTCATGAATTTAATGACTAAATTCTGTAGCAAAGTAAAAATCCAGAACAGACGTGGAAATGATGAGATAAAACTTTACATAATTTTTCTTTTGTTTATTTGTATTTCTTTTACAAGACTTTCTAACTTAATAAACTTGTCTTTAGTGCAGAATGTGCTTGTTTTTGTAACCTATTGTTGGTCAATGGACCCTCCCAGGTTACTGTGTTAAATTTTTGTGTGACTGAAATTCAGTCTCATTGTAAAAGACTAGAAGAAGAAGTACATGATCACTCATAGCAGAGATATTAAGTCTAAACTTAACCCTCTATTTATTTTCTTAGTAGAAGCCATGACTCTTATATCTGACTTGGGACTTGGTCCATGCATCCCTGTTGCTGCTTGCATGTTGGGCAATGTGGACACGGTGTGCATGAAAATAATTTAGTGAAGGATTAGTTTCCCCCATTGATGAATTTATAAAGTCACTTTGATATTCTACTGATTACGCCATGACAAAAGGGGCAGTTATTCACCCTGATTCTATTGACGTAATGCAGGTCTGCATCAGTAGCTGCAGCAACTGCCATCCAAAGTGATGCTAATGAGGATAATTTGGCTTCTGCTTTAAGTGATGATGCTGAGAAAAATGATGTTGAAGAGATCGATGATAGTTCGGTATAGATCAAGCTAATTCCTTGTGTATTGTTTTCCTTAGTTGTCACACCTTGAAATATGAAGCATTGATTAGGCTTTGGTTGAGTGCTTGCCACCAGCATAACCTGTCATTTTTTTGCATGCTTAGAATTGTAAATTTTCACTGAAGCATCCTTGACATGCTCAATAGTTACCAAGTTAAATCTGCTGCATGTTATATTGCACAGGAAAATGAATCCAGGATACCACCAGGGCGGAAGAGGGCTGTTCCAAGGGGAAGAGGTAGAGGATCTACACAGTCTTCTAAACGTGGAAGAAAATCAGATAATTCTTCAATCCATAGAATGCTCATGAACGATGACGACGATGATGATGACGAGGATATCATAAAAAGATTAAATAAGTCACAACCTCGGGTATGTATCTCCCATTTTCCATTCAAAACATTTGTTTAAATAGATGATCATCCATGTAGTGTCCTTGCGCTTCCATTTATTCACTCAATACACTTTATTCTGCCCATAGGACTTCTAGAAAGTAGAGCAGATGTATTTGAACTGTGCTTGGGTGTTGATTGGTAATTTGTGACGTACCAAAAAGATACTTGGGATACTTTTGATGTGTCACCCTTAAGAAAAGCATGGTTGTCAAATTAGCTTATTCACATTCTATATGAATTTAATTACACATAGATGTTGAAATTACCCAAAGGGAATTGATTTTCTTAGTGGTCTGCTATCTTGTTGAACATGTTGCCAGGGAAATGTTCATCCTCAGTAAACGTAAAATGCAGATGGGGTTGATATTGGAAATTTCTGTTAATACAATGCACCTTCTGATTCTTAACATATTTGGAGTTGTGATTTCGTGAAACTAAGCCATTTCTCTTGTTTTTAGGTTACGAAAAGCTATGGAGCTCTAAGAAGGTAAACAGTCCCGATGACAAGATAAATAATGTCATACGTTGAATCATTATCTACCTTGTATAAATAAAATATTGAGTGAGTCTGTCAAGTGTCAACTAACTTATAACGTCTTACTGAGATTTGAAGATACATCATTTAGGCAAAATGGAATTAAATTAAGTAGCTATATGTTGGCATAGGAAGAGGAAAGCAAACCATGTGAGTTACTTCAGAATAGGTTCTGCAGTCTTCCAAATAGTTTATGTTTCTTCAATGCATTCTTTGCTATTTTCTCTTACCATTCTTTCTTTTTAGGCACCACAGTGCCATTCAAGTTTGACACAATTGATTGATGTTTTAAGTGAAAGAAAGCTGGAGCTTATAATTACTTTCTTTCCTTTTACTTATAATTACACAAACGCTTCTGAAGCAAAGCATGATTATTTAGGGCAGCTGGATGAGTTGAAGAAATTGATGATAGCCTGGTAATTAAACGTAGAGGAAAATAAAGAAAAGTCCTAAGTAAACTTAACAAATGTTTAGTATGGTTGGAGACAGGTGTTAACCGAAACGATTTAAAAAGAAAAGGCGTCAAAAATCAATCACAACTGAATTTTCTTTTATAATTTTTAGATTTTGTTTTTGCAACCATTTCAGTTGGTGTAGATTTCAAATTGGGATTGAACTAAGCTGCATAAAGCTAATAATTATATATAAGTGCATTCAAAATTGTCTGGTTTAATTGTAGTGTATTTACAAATCATGAAAAAAACTTGTAATTTACTTTTTAATTGAAGAAAAAGTTAAAAATATAAACATACAATAAGTATAAAAAGAAATCGCAATACGTATCTACATTTGACAATTTTGCAGTGTTCTTTCTGTAAACACATGCTTAACAATTTTATAGTAAGAAAAATATAAAAAACATTTAAACTACGCTACAAAATATTAATTTAGTTGTGTAGGTTTCTTATGAAATTAAATTAAATCAGATCTAATTTTTATATTTTTAATTGGGTAACTTTTTTATAATAAACGAAGTCTTTTGTTTTTAAATAGTCTGCGTATTGTTGTAATTAAATTATAATTTAAGAAATATTTGAAGTAAACAAACAAACTATTGCCCCAAAATATAGAGAGACCATCGGTTAAATTTCTATATTTAACTGATCAATATATAAAATCATGAACTGAATCAGAAAAGAAAAAGTATTTTTCTGTATTTGGTAGAGTTGTTTTGTACCAATTAAAGTTCATTTGAATTATATCGGTAAAGTTTTAATTGATTGTTATAAAAAATAAATTGTTTATACCCAATCTATCAAATTAAAAATATTAAATAAATGCATAATTATACTGCTTATCCAATGCACGCTCAATCATGTTGTAGTGAAGCTAAATTGCATGAGTATAAAAATATGATGATTTTAACATTTATGAGAGTGGTGTTAGAAGTAATATATGATAGTGGTGTGAGAAGAAAAAGGTGGGTGTGCCGTGTTAATTCGAAATATAAAGCATTTTTCTTTTAAAATAAAAAAAGGGCTAGTTGGATAGATATAGACAAATGATATAGAATGGAGAAAGATAAAATGTGGATAGAAAGATATGAGTTAGAGATACATAAAATCCTTTAAACCCTTCTCATTGGTTGCTCCAAACAACACCATCCCCACCACCAACTTCTACAATTCATTCTAACCACAAACTTGTCTTATTATATTTCCCTACATACATATGATGTTCCATTCAACCCTTCTTCTGCAAACCACTGGAAGTTGGAAGTGATGGCAGCAACATTGATGGCAGCAACAAGTGGTTCTGGCACTGTTCTTAAACCAAGTCCTTTCCTAGGACAAGGCAAGGCTGGAAATGGCAACCCTCTTAGGGATGTTGTCTCAATGGGAAGTGGGAAATACAGCATGGTACTATTACTCACTCTCCTTTTTCTTTTATTTTGAGTTATTGTTTGAGTGAGTCTGAGTTTGGTTTTGTGTTTGTGAACGAGAAGAGCAATGAGCTGTGGTATGGACCAGACAGAGTGAAATACTTGGGACCCTTTTCAGCTCAAACACCTTCATACTTGAAGGGAGAATTTCCAGGTGATTATGGATGGGACACTGCTGGCTTATCTGCTGACCCAGAAGCATTTGCCAAGAACAGGGCTCTTGAGGTTACTCTTTACCATAATCCTTCTTTCTTTCCTTCTTCAAACTCAATCATTTACATCTCCAGATTCATTTTTATTTTTATTTTCAGTAACAATAGACTCATATTTTTAAATCCATTTCATATATAATATAAAGCTAAAATAGTTATAAATAAATAATTTTTTATATTTTTTTGAAAAATAATCAATGATAACAAATAAAATGTTTTTTGTGGAATAAGGTGATCCATGGGCGTTGGGCCATGCTCGGAGCCCTGGGCTGCATCACCCCAGAGGTGCTAGAGAAGTGGTTGAGAGTGGACTTCAAGGAGCCAGTGTGGTTCAAAGCCGGGGCCCAGATATTCTCAGAAGGTGGGCTTGACTATTTGGGCAACCCAAACCTTGTCCATGCCCAAAGCATCTTGGCAGTGCTGGGCTTCCAAGTTGTTCTGATGGGCCTTGTTGAAGGGTTCCGCATCAATGGGCTCGATGGAGTAGGAGAGGGCAACAACCTCTACCCAGGAGGCCAGTACTTTGACCCACTGGGCCTTGCTGATGACCCAACCACTTTTGCTGAGCTCAAAGTGAAGGAGATCAAGAATGGAAGGCTGGCCATGTTCTCCATGTTTGGGTTCTTTGTTCAAGCCATTGTAACTGGTAAAGGCCCATTAGAGAACCTTTTGGACCATCTTGACAACCCTGTGGCTAACAATGCTTGGGTCTATGCTACCAAGTTTGCCCCTGGATCTTAATTAAATCTCCACCCCTTATCATCATTATTGTCATTTACATGTAGATTATGATCATAAATGATAATTGTTGGATTAGCGAACTTTATAAGGATTAAGCCTCATTTTAATCACGGGATATCCCATCTTTGTTAAGCTAATTTTGTTTAAAGTATTCAATGAGAAAGGTGTTTTTGTTACTCTTTTTAACAATGATGACAAGAGCTAAAAGGATGCATTTTTTTTTCCTAACCATAAAAAATATAAATATATTTTCATTTTTTGTATACTTAGAATATAATTTAAACTTTTTAATATCAGTAATTAAAATTACTATTTTTATTGGTTATTTCTTACACAAAAATTGAAACAAGTTACTTTTAAAAAATATAACTAATTATGTATACATTTAACAGCGGCTCTTCTTTATTTTAGAGGTTGATCTCACATAAACAGGCCTTAATATCTGTAACATCCCAAATACAGTAATCACCATATATCAGAAATAATTATATTTAACAGTTAAACCATGCAGTCTTACACTAATAATAGGGTTCAAAAGCCGAACGGCTTAAAGTACAGAACTACAAGAAGTTTGGAACGGACGGTTTTACAAAAATTTAATAACCGAACGTCAGAAAATAGAAATAACAATTAAACGCTAAAGTGAACGAACACTCTAAGGCTCGGCTTTAACTTCCACTTCAACTAAGTTTTCTTCTTCGATGACTTCTTCCAGAGTTGCCTCGTCTTCTGCTCACATCCACACGGATGATCATTGCAAGGACAGGACGAACGTACATAGACAATAGACAACACAAGGAAAACGAAGGGTAAACTTATGTAATTTAATTTATACATCAACATATAAAATAAACATTTCAATCCACACAAGCACATAGTTCAACATATAACATCATACGAAATATATATATATTAGACCGACCGTCCGGACTATATGAATCTGTGTAGCTACAGGCGTCCTTGCACCCGAGTGATGAAGTAACTGGGATACACTCAACAGCTGCCACTCGAGGTTAGTCCGTTCTTACGTCGCCCATGTTAACTGATGGACTAAGGACCTCCTGCCATTCCCACACATGACATACCCCCTCTACGTGAGGATGAGTACTCACGGAACATCAGGATGGACAGCCAGCATTAGCATAACCACAGTCATACTTTACCAAATCCATATTCAGTATATATATGAGTCGTTCCTCCCTGGAACGCTCGTCCAAAATCCATCATCATATAATCACTCAAAATAAGGTTCACACTTTAAAATCTTACACTTTATCATCAATTTCATCTTTAGTTTTAAGGGTATAAAATAACGAACGGTCAGCCCTCTGAAGAACGAGGACGAACGTTAAGAAGCCGGACTGAAAGAACTAAGAAATCTGTTACGGACGTTACTTTCTATGCGGTCAGTTGAATGAACTAACTCGTTTAGATGTACACTGGTACTTAAAGAAAATTTCATTATGAAGACCTTAGAATGGATCCAATGTAAAGAGAAGAACCAAGAATATTTAGAACTATCTTTGGATTAATTCGCATACGAAAGTCCGTTGCTAGTAAATGAACGAACGTGAGTAAAAGAAAATATTATTATAATTGAACGAACGCTATTTTATCAAATGGGTTATACAATAATACGAGCGCTTGGTATAAGACCGAGCACTACTTAGGACGAACGCTAGGTAGATGACCAAGCACTAATTAGGACGAACGCTTAGTATAAGACCGAGAGTTCATCAGGACGAACGCTTGGTATAAGACCGAGCGTTACTAATTTTAAGTATAAGGGTATAAATTTTTATTATTCCATTTCAGAGACTCGGATACAGCTAGGTTGAACCGAACGCTCAAACATAGCATTTCACAGGAGGACGCTCGTTCTCGATCAGATTTCTTTCCGAATGAAAGAATTCCATGTTTAAGCCATTTACTAGGAAACCGAACGGTATAAGACCGTTCGATGACGAGCATACATTATCAAGGTAAAGAATATCAGATTCATATTTTTCATATATTCTAGCTCAACATTTCTCATATCTTATAATTTCATATCAATCATCAATTCACATACTTTATAGAATTCACATTAACAATTCATACTCCACAATAATTATCCATATTCCCATTCATGCATATCAACCATCATCATACGTATTCAATCAGCATATATCTCATACATCCAGTACGTATCAGACGTTCATACAACATACAAGTATCAATTAAATTAAATAAGCTTTCCTTACCTGGAGTTGTGAGCAACTTGTCCTAAGCGCAAGATTTGTGGCTCAACCAACTAACGTCTTTCTACCCTTAGTGGTCACTTAACTCTTCCAACTCAAATCTAACCATAATAAAATCACAGTACTTAGACTATATCCACGCATGCAAACCATAACTTGGTTTTGCATGAACCCTAAGAACGAATGACTAAGGGAGGAGACTTACCAGTTTCAAACGTGATCTTCGGTTTAATGGAAAGCTTAG